GGCACATCGACATCCGTTGATTCATCAACAGAAGGAGGGGGCCATGGCAGGAGAAGCCAGGAACATTCAGGTACATCAACATCAATTGATTCGTCAACAGGAGGAGGCCAAGGCGGGAGAAGCCAAGAACATTCAGGACACTCGGGTTGCAGATCAGTATCCTGACTACACCCCTTGTCTAGAAGAGTTGACTTACTCATAACTAATTGAGACGACCCAGGTTTCGGATTAACCTCCTCATCCAATGGGTCCAATGGGTCTTCTCCGGAAAGAAGTTCAGACTCGAGACTTGCGGACTGACCGACATTCAATTCAGGTAAGTCCAAGTCCAGCTCAGGTAAGTCTACTATTGTTGACTGACCAAAATCTAGTTCAGGTAAGTCTACTCTTGTTGACTGACCGAAATTCAGTTCAGGTAATTCTAATCCAGTCAACTGACCTAAATCCAGTTGAGGTAAGTCTAATCTTGACTGACCTAAAAGCACTTCAGTCAGGTCCACTCTCACGGACTGACCTAAATCAGGCGCAAGCAAATCCATTCTTGACGGTCCCAAATCTGGTTCAGGTAAGTCAAATCCGGACTGACCGAAATGAGGTTCAGGCAAGTCCAATCCCAACGGACCTAAATTTGGTCCAGGCAAATCCAATCCGGACTGACCGAAATCAGGTTCAGGTAAGTCCAATCCCGGCGGACCTAACTTTGGTCCAGGCAAATCCAATCCGGACTGACCGAAATCAGGTTCAGGCAAGCCAGACTCGACTCGAGAACAGTTCTGCACAACAACGAGTCCCTGGACAGTGGATTGAAGGTTCTTCATTTGAGATCCAATTGAAGAATATGAACTCTTCACTTGAGTCTCCATCGAAGAAACAGAACCATGGATCTGATCCACCTTCTTCTCCAGATTCGAAACTTCATTCCTGTCCAATCGGGAGGGTTGTGGTTGTTGTTGTGGAGGATCAGGTGTAGCTGTACGGCTAATCCTTGGCTCCTCCGCAGATACCTCTACAGACGTTTGTCTGACATCCTTCCGCGATTTGTCATGAATTGCCTTATGGGTATGCTGAAACCATCTCACTAAGTCGATGGCTTCATCCAAAGATCTAGGGCAATAATAAATAGCATAGTGCCCAGCCTCTCTATCAAAACATCCTCGGCAAAATCTATGGACGACCTGTTTTTCAACATGGTGGTCCGGTAAACCTGCAAAGGCATGAGCAGCCAATGTCATAAGGCGGTTCGCCCAATCTACATGGTATTCCTCAGGTTGCTGCCTCGCGTAATTAAATTGCAATTGTGCAACTTCGTCCCTTGATGCAAACCGCTTCTCCAGTTTCCGGACTAAGTCCGCAAACCCAAGATGAGGTTCATGCTTAACGAGCAATGAGACATACTCGCTTGCACTTCCACCCAAGCACCAGCAAAGTTGATTCCTTCGTTGGCTCAAAGTCCATCCAAACGCCTCAGCGTCAAGGTTGAACTTAGCGATGAACGCTTGCCAACTCCCGCGGCCATCGAAAACCATGGACTTGGGCCAGGAAACAGACTTGTGGCCCCTCTCACGGTTACCATCCCCACGAAATAAGTGGGAACTATGGTTATCCTGAGATCGGTGCACATGTGGTGGAGAAGGAAAACCATCGCGTTGATAGGCAGTATGCCGATAATCTTGGTATCTGGTATACTGCGGCGAACTCTGTCGAGCTGGAAGCCTCTCCATAGGAGGAGGAGCTTCCGCTGCAACACGCTGCTGACCTTGATTCCGAAGAGTGGTCTGGAGAGCCTCTATTACTGCCTTATATTTCGCTTCCACCAATCGCTCAACATCTTGTTCGGATGGAGCTTTGGAAACGACTAATACAGACATTCGAATTCAAAATTCAACTACTCTAAATGTACTCTGAATTCAACTATATACTTTGAATTCAACCAACTTTGAATTAACCCAAACCTGAATTCAACCAACTCTGAATTGAACCAACTTTGAATTAAACCAACTTTGAATTGAACCAACTCTGAATTGAACTAACTTTGAATTGAACTAACCATGAATTCAACTAACCTTGAATTCAACTTAACTTTGAATTCAACTAACAACTTTGAATTCAACTAACAACTTTGAATTCAACTAACAACTTTGAATTCAACTAACAACTTTAAATTCAACTACTCGGAATCCAACTAATCAGAGTCCAACTAATCGGAGTCCAGCCAATCGGAATCCAGTTTCTAGGAATCAAGTTACTTTGAACTCAGTTACTCTGAATTCAGTTTCCTTGAATTCAGTTTCCTTGAATTCAATTTTCTTGAATAAATATTTCTTGAATTCAATTTTCTTGAATTCAGTTTTCTTGAGTTTAGTTTCCTTGAGTTTAGTTTCCTTGAGTTTAGTTTCCTTGAGTTTAGTTTCCTTGAATTCAGTTACTTTGAATTCAGTTACTTATTTTTAAATCAGTTACTTTAAAGTCTGTTACTTTTAATTGTGAGAAATCTAGCTAACAAAGCTCTATTTTTGCAATGCAAGAGTCGGAGTCGGAATCCAAAATGAAATCCGAAAAGTCCTTCAATTATAAACTCCCAACCCTTGAGCCAAGAGATTGACCTAAGTTCAAATCACTCGCGCTCTAACTACTGTAGACCGAGTCGAGAAAACCTGCTCAAAAGTCTTGGTGAACACGACTCGGGTACTACAAGGCTAGAGAATTAGCAATGCAAAAATATAAAAAGAAATCTGACTAATCCTTAAATAATAATTCCCAACCGTAATTGAGCTAAGAGATTTGAATAAATTCAAATCACTCAAGCGCCAACTACTGTAGACCGAGTCGAGAAAACCTGCTCACAAAGTGCAGACGACCAAGACTATGGTAATACACAGTTAGAGAATTATCAATTCAAAAATATAAAATGAAATCTGACTAATCTTTTAATATAATAATCCCCAACCGTAATTGAGCTAAGAGATTTGAATAAATTCAAATTACTCAAGCTCGAAACTACTGTAGTGTAGACCTAGTCGAGAAAACCTGCTCCAAAATGCTGGTAAACCCCACTATGGTACTACAAGGTTAGGAAATTAACAACTCCTTGTTAAGAAATTCAAAAAGAGTGATCAAATTCCAGATCTTTATAAAATCCCAAATTGGAACCAAGCTTATTTCAATAAATTAAATTAATACTCCCTACGATGACACGTACACATATGCAGCAAAACTACACACATGCACATTTATTAGTTAATTAATTTAGTCCAAGTCTTAACTACCTTAATTATTTTTAATTTCAATAAAAAATAATTAGTTACTTATTCTTAAGTATACTCTGTCCCCTTCCCTACTTTTCTACAGCGAAAAGTAGAAGACTCGAAAGAGACAGGAAAATGCAAGTAAGTGCAATCACTTGCATTAATTTAATTTAATTTATCTAGTTAAAATTTATTCTTAACTACTCTGTCCCCTTCTCAACTTTTCTTTCAACGAAAAGGAGAGGAACCGAAAGAGACAGAAAAATGCAAGTAAGTGCAATCACTTGCATTAACTTAATTTAATTTATCTAGTTAAAATTTATTCTTAACTACTCTGTCCCCTTCTCTACTTTTCTTTCAACGAAAAGGAGAGGACTCGAAAGAGACAGAAATTCTTAACTACTCTGTCCCCTTCTCAACTTTTCTTTCAACGAAAAGGAGAGGACTCGAAAGAGACAGAAATGCAAGTGCAATTTGATACTGACACGAAAGTGACAGCATCCAACAAACTAGAACAATATATGTGAAATGCCAGACAAAAATAACCGGCGTAGAATAAATCTATGCCGAGTTATAAGAATGGAAAATAAAGCAAGGCACACGCAACAGTAAAATAAATCCAAAACACACCACACGCCTGGTAATACCAGGCTAGCGCGAACACTCGAAAGAGCTCCCACGAAAACGTAAACACAATGCACACGCTACACACGGCGAACCAAAAATGTATTCAGAACAAGATGGCTGCCCACGCTTCAAAAATGTGACACGTGCGACGGAAAATTCCGTAAAATCACGAATCACTGCACAGCAATGAAACACACACACGAAAAATACAAATACAATAGAACGGAAAAATATAGCCAAGCGCAGGCTCGAATGAAAGTCGCAGCGCCAATGAAGTAAAAACGGGTGGTGAGTAGAATGATAACAGATGAATGATGGCGGAGTTACCACCGTACTTTTACTTACGATGCGGTGAAATGTATGAAATGGAGAAGGAAAGACAAGACACCGACTGAACACTAAACTAACCTTATATTATCTCTACTTGTACTTCAGCGAAGCTCAGCATAGCTGCAGGTTCGCAGCTACATGCTAACTCCCAGGTCTTGAGGTGAACCGGGAGTCCATGATTCGGGAAACTAAGCGATCCTGGAGTAAGTGTGTGTGTCAACAGCTCATCAGAATCCAGAAATAGGTGACGGCCCGTGTCCGGGACTCTTATAGGCCCGTCTTTGAGAGGTTGGCGACGGACGGACGCGTAAGCGCATCCAAGACATGTATGAACTTACGCGTCCGCGAAATAGGGTACAATAATTTGGCTTACAAAAGGCAATTTTACAACACTCCTTTCATGCCTTTACTCTAATCTGTTAGATCTAACGTTAGATCTAGACTCTATCCACTTTCACTTTGGATGCAAAATTACATTACATATTATTATTTTAAAAAATTAAAACAGAAATATGTAGATCTACTTTGACTTCGATGGCTTGCCTATAAGTATGTAGGCCTAACTTTAGATCCTAAATTACTGTTTAGTCCGTCGTCGACAGAAACAGCCACGTCACAACCGACACGAATAATATCACATGGGACAAGGATGTCTAGCCTACAAATAGAGTCTAGATCTAGTCAGCCAAGATTGATCCTATTTCTTGGCACCACATGAATCATAATATTCACACAAAGAGTATGAATGCAGAACTTAAAATCAACATTTTTATTGTGAATTTAATAATATTAATTTACCAATCTGTTTTTCTCTTATTGACACTGCCATGTTATCAGAAATCGACACAATCTCTCCGTGCATCTCCTTGATGGCTTCAGTGCAAAGTGGCGACCAATCAGCAGGAAGCTAGCCACTAATAATGGGGATTATACTGTCTCCAAAACGTCCAATCCATTAGGAAATTGAAAAATTTGCACGAGACTATGGACTTGAATGTCCTTAAAGCTATCGAACGACTTTGGAATTAGAAAATGGCCAACATTGTTTTAAAGATTACAACCTGCTCTTTACTGTAAAACATGTTGCATGCCAATTTTTTTGTCTTGGCCTTACTCTTTCAGCTTGAAGTTGAAGTTCAAACCGACATATCGGAGGGCGTATCCGAATAAATGCGCTTTTAAAATCAAAGGCTTTTACAACTGTCGTATGACATTACAACTAAATAATGTCTACAACATTTCAAAGTTGAAACACTCGTATATGTCATATACCAAAAGTTTATGTCTGGGTCTTTCTGTTTTTAGATTGAAGTTGAGGCTCAAACCAGCATAGACTGGAGGGGCTCTAATCCTCACGTTTACAGAAAACACATGGACTAAATGCGTTTTTAAATTCGAAGGCTTTTAAAACTACCATATGACCAGGACACAGGCGCGTACGCAAGGGGGGGGGGGGGGGGGTTTGGGGTTGAACCCCCCCCCTTTGGTATTTTTATGTGTGAAAACACCCCCCCCCCCCTTTGGATTTTTTTTTTTTTTTTTTTTAAATTATACAAAAAAAAAAAATTATACCCATGGCTGACCTAAAAAAAGGTGACCTTACCTCCCCCCCCCCCCCAACAAAGAAAAATTTTAAATTTTCAAATTTCGAGACTAAAAAAAAAAAAAAAATGTCCTCTTACCCCCCGACTGAGTATGGAGGGAAATAAGGAAAAAAAAAGAGAGAATGAAAGGAAGTTTCCGGAAATTCCGGAAATTCCCGCTGAAATCTTGAAATGATGATTTAATATTTTGGAAAACTTTGTAACATTTATATTTGTGTTTGCTCCAGGTAATGTTATGTAGCGTGAGCTTTCGTGTATTATATTCTCGAATTAATTACTATATCCATATACTTGTGCCCGAATTCACAACAATACAAACCTTTTGTACCACTGTTGTGAATTCGGGCCTTGATGTTTTGTTCAACGATGCCCCCCGCCCCCAACTCCGTGAACGGAGGGATACCATGCGCAGGCGCGTACGCAGGGGGGGGGGGGGGGGGTCAAACCCCCTTCAGTTTTTTTTATGTGTATGTTTGTGAGGAAACCCCCCCCCCCTCCCTTTTGAGTTTTGAGTTTTGAGTTTTTTTTGTTTTTTTTTATTAAAAAAAAATCCTAATGATGACCTAAAAAAGATGACCTTATTCAGCGGCTGGCTGAGTCGTTGCGAAATTTTTGGCCCGATTTCAAAATGTTAAACCCCCCCCCCCCTGAAAAAATTCTGCGTACGCCACTGACCATGCGTGTTCCCAAACTCTCCGGCTCGTAACAAAAGAAAAAGGTCTACCCGTATTGACTTTACACACCGGACTTTTGCTGAAAGGGGGGGGGGGGGGGGTGGTGCTGGGAACACGCATATGCGTACCCTAAATAACACTGAGTTGGGGGGGGGGGGGAACCGGGACGGTGCCTTGCTAACTAATTTGCTAACTATAACCTCATTCCATCGTGTTCTAAATTCCACTTCTTAATTACGTCTTTCTTTACTGCCTCAGAGTTTTTTTTATCTACAACAATGGCTTAGGAACCGGGGATGGGGGTGGCGGGAATATCCCCCCCCCCCCCAACAACAACCCAAAAAATAAAAAAAAATACTTGTTATGGCTGAAAACCCCTTGTTTTTGTACATTTTAAAAATAAGTGTCCTTTTTCCTTTGATGTTCCCCCTTTTCTTCTCACCTAATTAAATTATACTCCTAATTTAAAGCGGCTAAGAGCATTCTTTTCTTCGATTTCACCCAAAGCACGCCCGCCATTAATACCCCCGCATTTTTAGTAATTATGATTTTTGTTTCTTATTCAAAGATCTTTTAAGTCTGTCATAATTAGGATTTTTGTTTCTTATTTAAAGATCTTTTAAGTCTTTCATAACTAGAATTTGTTTTCTCTTTATGAGACAATAATAATAATAATAAAAACGATGCTTAAAAAGCGCTTACCAGCGAAGAGCGAAGTCTCTCGAAGATATAATTTTTCGCATTGCGACTTCACAAAATAATCTTACATTTTTTACTCGCCCGGTTCGCCCGCTCACGAATAAATATCCAGACCATCACACCCAACTGCAAAGAATGATCTTGGACCATGTAAACAAACGATGAAATCAATCAATCCCTGATAATCTAATCACAATATAGGTGTATAATATGGCCTACCAATGTTTATAATGTTTTTTTTTTTTGCTTTGAGGTTTCCCTATTGTCCACAGTGATTGTTAAATCTCGAAGAACAAAACACAATTCCTCATGGCTATTCTCCCCGTATAATTATGTCCACAATTTCCATTTGTTTTTTTTTCAATTGCTTGTAAATTCTGGAAAAAATGTCACAAAATGCACTAAAAATAAGGCTGATATTGCACCAGAGAGAATTTTAAAACCCATTGCTTCAAGGGCCCTTCAGCGGCCCTGAACCCCGGGCGAAAGGGACTTCGCGCATCGCGCTTATGATGTGCACTTCGCGCAAATTCAGATTTTCAGGGTGAGTGGTTCAACTGCCCACTTAAACATGGTTTTCAAGCTAAGAAGTCGTGTGAACTCCAACTGACTGGCTTTGTCACCGACCTCTTGAACAACATGGAGGACAATCAGACGGACATAGTAATCACAGACTTCAGTAAAGCCTTCGACAAGGTTCATCACGTACCAGAGGCTTCTGAAGAAGATGGAATACTATGGTGGGAGAGGCCACAACATTGACTGGATATCCATTTTTCTCTCCAACCGTAAGCAGCAAGTTTTTCTGGATGGTCATACGTCATCAACGGTAGAGGTCCAGTCAGGTGTGCCTCAAGGGTCAGTACTCGGACCCTGCCTCTTCCTTTTCTACATAAATGACCTGCCAATTAAACCAACTTTCAACGAAAGTCAGACTCTTCGCCGATGACACGGTTCTGTACCATACCATCCAGACACCTGAGGATGCAGACTTGCTACAGCAGGATCTTGATCAGCTTTGTAGGTAGTCAAGCAAGTGGATGATGGCACTAAATCCAAAGAAATGCCAGGTCATTAACTGTCTCTGGGAAGAAGACCAAGTATCTCCATCATTATTCACTCAATGGAGAAATCTTGGAGTCTGTGTCAGCTGCCAAATACCTTGGCATTACTCTCACTGCTGACCTCAACTGGACACAGCATGTATCTGCCACTTGCAAGAAGACAAACAACACCCTAGCCTTTCTTAGAAGGAACCTGCGTGTCAACTCCCCTCGGCTTAAGACTACTGCATACCAGGCTCTCGTTCGCCCTCTTCTTGAGTACGGGAGTGCTGTCTGGGATCCTCACACCATCAGATGTATAAACCAGTTGGAGATGGTCCAGAGACGAGCAGCGAGATAATGTTCTCAACCGCTATCATCATACATCTAGCGTCTCTGACATGCTGAGTCAACTTGGATGGACCTCCCTCCAGAAGAGAAGAGAGCATCAACGTCTCACCTTACTGTACAAGATGCACTACTCCTTGGTTGACTTTGACATCCACCACTACATCCAACCGGCAACAGTCGTAAGAACTACAAGATCGCCTCGTCCTTACTGTTATCGTGTCATGCAGTCACGAACAGAGCAACATATTCACTCCTTCTTTCCTCGCACTGTTCGACAGTGGAACGCTCTCCCTCTTGAGGTTGTCCTGGCTCCATCAGTGGAAGCCTTCCAGCGACAACTAAAGACCGGGGGAAAGTAAATTCTGGCAATTTTTTTTTACTGGCACTATATACACCTCTCACCTGCACACCTGGACATCCCCATGTCGCCACACATATGCACTCGCACACATCTGCAAGAATCTTCAGCAGCGAAGGAGGCAGATTATTTTGAAGAAGAAGAAGAATATTTAATTACAGAAAATATATATAAATAATTATGTTTAATGATAATGTGTCTCCTATTGAAAAGTGTGTATACATGCCGAGAAATGTGTTAATTCACAATCAAGATGAATCTGTATAGTTTACTAACCGAGCCCATAAGTATGGTGGCCCACATCGCGAATATACGAAATCGCGAATTATTCACGACGAAATTGACGACGTCGTGAATTTTATCGCCAATTATTCACGACGAAATTGACGATATCGTGAATTTCGTCGCCATTTCGTCGTGAATAATTCGCGATTTCGTCTATTCGCGATGTCCCTTCAGGGCCACCATACATAAATGTTTTGCCTCATTGATAAAGCTTATAACCGGGGCTTATAAAAATGGGTAGGTAATAACAGAAAAACCATCTGTATGCACAGATACACCAGCGCCCCCTCGTCCACGTCATGAGTTACCTATCATTCCGTCTTTTTCTTTTTCGGTTTTCTTCTGTTATTCCTTGTTTTTCCATCTTTCATCTTCTTTTCTGTCTTTGAATTTTCTATATTTATCATTTTCTCTTTCTGTCTTTCTTTATGTGAGTCTTTGTTTCTTCCTATTATCACGTTCTCTCCGTTATTCAATGTTTTTATTATATTATCTTCCAAACTTTCCTATCGTGTTTGTTTCTTCTTCTATCACCTTCTCTTATGTTATTCTCTATTTTTTAATCAATCTATCACTTTCTCTTTCTGTCTTTCGTCAGTTGAAATTCAATTATAGATAATAGGTTTAGTATGGGATCATGAATTTGGTTCAAATGAACATATTGTAAGCATAATGCGATCATTCAATGATCGTTGCGGCGGTTGAAATCGAGTCTAAAGTGATGGCTCCCTCTCAAGAATGATATTACTTTAGCTTTAAAACAATGTTTGTGTATTAAAATCGACCGATATGCTATTCCCGTTTGGAAATTATATATCAGAATGCATATTCTGAGATGTTCATAGTCGCAGCTACCATGGAATAGCCTTAGGCGCTATTTGAAATTTATCGGGGAGCACCG